GGAGGTGAGCACACAATTATATGATTTTTTGTTCTTTGATGCCTGGATCTTTTGCTTTCTTCATGAATGATGGTCTGATGTCCTCCCACAGCTCTCCACGCCTTCTGTCATTAGTGTTCAATTTGTGAATCTGTTCTTGAGATGCTCTCGAAGTTCACGTGGCATAGACTCCAGGTCGTATTTTAGCTCCTGTGGACTTGTTCTCATTATCCTCAGCTTTATTCCAAATTTGCATATGAGCAATTGACGAACTGTTCTACAGTAAGCCCCTAGTCTGGTTTTAGCTGCTGATATTGAACTTCTCCATTGTGATTTCTCAGATGGAATCAGTGTGATTTCTGTGAATTCCATCTGGGCAAGTCCATGTGCATAGTCACCTTTTTTGTTGTTGAAAAAAGGTATTTGCTCTGGACACATCATTGGTCTTGCAAAATTATATCATGTGATCTCCAGCTTTATTTCTCTCACTAAGATCATATTTTCCAAAACATCAACAATGTTTGAGGCTGTCCATAAAGTTGTCTCATGGCTAATTCTTCAGAGTTGGATAGTCTATTCCTTCTTGTTTGTCTAGTCTTAGTCTGGAAGCTCTCAGCCACCAAAGTATGACAAACTGACAGACAACTGGTGACCATTTATTTATTTATTTATTTATTTTTGACCATTTATTATACCGCCGTGTATCCCACTTTCTTCCAGTGTTCTCATTTCCGTGCCTTCTTCTTTCAAAATCTAAATTCTTTTAAAAAGGCCAGATTTACTGGATCAGTGGAGACTAAGGTAACTCCTGAATAAAAGACTGGCTCAAAATAAACAGTATCATCAGTGTACCAAAAAGAACTGCCAAAATGCAACCATTTCAGGGAGTAGCATATAATCACAAAGCAATGATATTGAAGAACAGAGTCCAAGCTGCACATGTCATTGACAAAAAACCATCATGAATTGATTAAATACCGAGATGTTTCAACAAACCAGTGCAGAGGAGGCGGTGCTTGTGTGTCTGTGCCATGAGATTTAGAAGACAAGTCACCTGACCAAGCGACTGGAGGAAATCCAGATATTTAAATTTTTAACCGTCTTATTAGCATACGATTCACATATCATACCATTCAATAGTTTAAACATATTCAAAAAGAGTTGTGCAATCATCACCACAATCAATTTTAGAACATTCCTTCTTTTTTGTACTCATTATTATTAGCTCCCAATTTTCCACCAACCTCCTCTTCCATAACCCTAAGGAAAATTTAATCCAGTTACTATGTCTATAAATCACCTCTTGGATTTCATATAAAGGAAACAAAGAAAAAGAAATAAAACCCAACAACAATAACAAAATAAAATAGAGAAAACCTCAGTTGAAAGACTAACAGAAAATAATAAAAACTAGAACAAAGTTAAAACGGGCCAAAAGGGAGTAAAATTATGAACGTGTTACATTTTCATATAACTCCATTGCATTATTCCACTTTCCACTGCACTTGGATAGCACAGCTATTCACATCTCTAGTCACTGGTCAGAGGGGATTCACCACATGCTTACTCCACGTGGGGGCCTGCAAATGGACTTGGCTCTTTCACTGTCACCCACAGCCTTCGGCAAACTGGGTGCTCATAGCTTACACTCGAATACCGTCCCTTCCTCTGTCTTAGATTTCATTATTTACAATGCTTGGATGACACAGGCAGGCGTGCTTCTTCCCTGTAGACGTAGCTGTTACTTTAGATGACTGCTTATTTTTAAGACCCCAGATGCTACTTTTTCGGATAGTTTCCCACCATCTAAGAGATCAATATTTATGCTTGTTCCAAATAAAGGTGATACAACAGAATGTGGAAATCATCAAACAGTGGAAATCTACATTAATGGACCAGAACAACCAGAATGAAAAGAAGAGAGAATGTTGATACATTGTGAAAAAAGTAGCCAATATCACTGATTGCTGTTAAAAGGGAATATATATAGATATATCTGAGGCAGGATATCCAGTGTATTATGTAAGGCCAGCAGTCTATAACACAGCATGAGTGGGTTGTCATGGCAAACTGAGGTCCTCCCATACTATAGAAATGGTCTGGAAAAGGCCTAATCTTTTATTCAAAAGCAGGAGGTCCTGTGGTTTCCTCTCAGGACCTGTAAGGAAATGTATCTTTTGTATTTATTTGTCATGAAATAAGACTTCTGGATAGAGTAAAGATTAGACTACCTGCACAGGTGCTTCAGCAATGTTTTAGGCTAGGTTTTCTAGTGAAACAAAGCCAGTGATGCTTATATAGATAGATAAATAGACAGACAGATGGATAGATATATCAATCTCAAGGAAATGGCTCATGTGGTTATAGAAACTGATAAGTTCCACATCTGTGGACCAGATGTCATGCCAGAGGCTTCTGCTGGCGCCTGTAGCTGCAGGGCCGAAACCCCATGGTTAAAAGGTCAAAAGGCAGTCTTCTGGCTTCAAAGGTGAATGAATTCAAGGTTGGCAGGTAAGGTGGCAGACTCATAGGCTGCAGAGGCTAATAGCTCCTTGGTTTGTCAGTCAATTTAGCAGGCTGTTGGCAAGAACCTGAGGTCACATCATGATAAGCCATATGTAGGAGCTAGATCCAACCAAAAACAAGCAAACTTTGACAGAACATTAATTTGTATAGTGAGAGCAGGCAATACCCCTGAGGGAACTCACTTTAAATTGTTAGGCTGCTGTGTTAGTCCAGGTTGACTAGAGAAACAAATCCAGAGACACTCATATATATCTAAGAGAGAATTTTATATCAAGAAGTAATTATGCATTAATAAAACATCCCATCCCAGTCCAGATCAAGTCCTTAAGTCCGATATTAGCCTATGAGTCCTGTAGGTTCAATGGGTCCATGGCTCTGGCTTCCATCAGCATGGCTCCATGTGGCTTGTCACCAGGAATGTAAAGCAGAAGAGAGAGAGAGTGTGTGTGTGTCTGTGTGTGTGTGTGTCCCACCTCCAGGAGGAAGACAGGAAGTTCCCAGAATCCTCAGGAGAAGGCCATGCCCATACAAAGGCATCGTTGACATTGATTAAGAGGTTAGACTCCACCCCTTCATTCAAGTTGACAGGAGATTATGTAACTACCAGAGCTGCTCATAGCCAATGTCATCATGACGGATGGCTATATCACACTGCTAAACCACTGAGAATCATGGCCCAGCCCAGTTGACACACAACCTTAAATATTACAAGGTGTTAATTTATAAACCAAACCCAAACTCACTGCCATCCAGTTGATTCAAACTCTTGGTGACCCTATAAGACAGATTAGAACTGCCCCGGTGGGTTTCCAACGCTGTCGATGTTTCTGAGAGTAGAAAGTCTTACCTTTCTGCCCCAGAGTGGCTGGTGGCCTCAAACTGCTGACCTCATGGTTAACAGCTCCACACGTAATCACTGTGCTACAAAGGGAGTTTAAATGTTGTTGCACTGATGTATTCCAGGGTATATACAGAAATACAGAAATTGTGCTTTCTAGAATTATTCTTTAATGCCTTCTTGATATAGAAGATGAGTCCTCTCCCACTGTCCCTGAAATATGTTTGCCCAGAAAACAGCGAATGATCACTAAACAGCCTTCTGTGGCAGGTGGGTACACATTTGTGCCTGAGTGGATTATCTCCTGACCACAGAGGAGGACTGAGTCATCATCTACGAGTCTCTCCGTCAGCTCTTCCTCCACAGTTCAGCTGCCTCTCCTTCAAATAAATGCCAAACACATTTTTGTAAAATACCAGTTGGTCAGACTTTGTCTTACAGGCTTTTGACATGTCGAGAGAGCCCAGTCCCTGGGGAAGGACTTCATGCTTGGGAAAGGGGAGGAGCAGCGAGAAAGAGGAAGGCCCTCGGGAGACGGATTGAACCGTGTTTGCAACGGGCTCAGGCATAGGAGTCATTGTCATGATGCGCAGGACTGTGCAGTGTTTTGGTCTGTAGTGAGAGGGTTCCTATGGGTCGAAACAGACTCGGGGGCACCTAGCAGCAACAACGGCAGCAGTTGGAAGAAGAGCCAGATTGTGAGCTGACCTGGGTGCTCCATGGTATTGGTTTGATCCCAGTAGTCTGCTTGCCTCCACTGTCACTGATACAACATACAGTCCCCAATAGGAGCTCGAAGCTGACTGTATGGGAAAGCCACAGAGTGGGTGGTGATGTTCTTTGCAAGCTCATCGATGGCCTACCTCATATCCCAGTGCCTTGCAAGACTGAGAAGATGTCTGTACTAAGACTGCCTGTTTTCATAGATCTCTAGCCCTCGGATATGCATAGAAGCAGGCTGGAAAAATAAGGTTGCTATTCTTTCCCTGTTGACACGCTATATTAAAAGGATTCTAGAACCCATTGACTGAAATCTTGAAATCGTTTCCCATTCTTTTCTCCAGGGTCCTCGTAAGACTGTAAACACCCATTGTCTCTCACTTAGAAGTAAGGTGCAGGCTCTTATGGCTAATTGAATGAGAAGGTTCTCCCTTGACTAACTAGATTGTATGTTTAAAAGAATCGTGATTGGATTAAACATGAGAAACGTATTAGAAATGAATTTCAATGTTCTCTTAACTAAAAAGGAACTCAGCTGCTAACTGCAAGGTTAGAGGATCAAATCCACCAAGAGGCCCCTTGAGAGAAAAGCCTCACAGTCTACTGACAAAGTAGCCATTGAGAACTCAAGGAGCACAGTTCTCTAACCACACATGGGTTGCCAGAAGTTGGGGTCAGCTTGATTGGAACTTTAAAACACACACACACACACACACACACATACACACACACACACACATTTTAGGAGGCTGACTTTTTTCATGATTTTATTTTTTCAAGAAAAATAAAATGATTGTTCTCCATAACATAGTGGGTACTCATGGATTGATCGTACAACCCAGGTCATTTTCAGTGCAGTCTGTTTTGGAGAATTCGAACACACGTGAGCTTTTGTGTATAGCTGCAGAACACTGATGGCAGTGGCATGTCTTTTCAGGTTTTGGAAAGGAACTCTTCGAGTCTGATCTTGACCGAATCATGGAGCATGTTGAAGCTGCTATGGAGACGGTGCCTGTCTTGAAAACGGCCGACATCATCAATATTGTCAATGGTCCTATCACTTATTCTCCTGATATTCTTCCCATGGTGGGGCCCCACCAGGGGGTCAGAAACTACTGGGTGGCTATAGGCTTTGGGTGAGTACCCTCATGCAATTCAACATGTACTATAAAGTCATATATTTTAGATATGTCTTGGATCATAATCTCTGAAAAGGGAGAATGCGGGAGGGCCAGAGAGGGGTTTTTCCCCCTCCCCTTTTATGATCATTGAGATACATGTAAAATGATGATGGCAACATTTGTAAAATGTGCTTGATACAATTGATGCATGGATTGTTATAAGAGCTGTAAGGGAGCCCAATAAGATGATTTATAAAAAAGAGAGAGATAGCTATACATTTAAAATGTCAGTCTTAAACCACATAATGGTTTAAGCACTTCTGTAGATTTTAAAGATCCGCCCATAGATGGGAAATGATTTCCTGGAAATTTCTCTTTGCATATCTCCTGCCATTTCCATGATTCATATATCTTCTCAAATGTAGGTCTATTTGCCTCAATTTCACAAGGATGTTTTCATAAAACAGTGTGGCAAAGTTAATTTAAAATATCTAATGTGCAATAAATCTGATGCATTTTTCATCTTAATCCATGTTTGTCCAATATGATTTTCTTTTTTATAATTCTTTAGGCTGTTTCCTATTTTTTTATTCCATTGCCACTTTGGTGTTTCATTTCTAATATTTATCCTATGAATTTGGTCAATATTGATGTCCAGCTCATTTTACTATCATCTCACACTTTCTAATATTCTACTTTTTCCCCCCATTTTATTTGATCATTTTTTCTACTTGAATTTAGTAATTGCCAGCTCTAGGCCAGGCCTGGTGCTAGAACTGTGCTTTTGATTTGTCTTTTTCCCAATGACTAATAAACAGGTGCTCTACTAAAACCATGAATTAGGTGTTGGACTGCTAACTGCAAGGTAAGCAGTTCAAACCACCTGTCACATGGGAGAAAGACCAGGCTGTGTGCTTCCATAAAGACTGACAGTCTCCAATACCTTATATCACACTCACTGCCATCACTTCAATGCTGCCTCATAGTGACCCTGTAGGACAGGGTAGAATAGCCCCTGAGAGTTTCTGCGCCCATAACTCTTTATGGGAATAGAAAGCTCCATCTTTCTCTCATGAAGTGGCTGGTGAGTTTGAACTTCTGACCTTAAGGTTAGCAGTCCAACACGTAACCACTATGCCACCTATATAGGGTCGCTATGCATGGGAATGGACTCAGTGGCAGTGGGTTTAGTTTTGGTTTAATGTCTCATAATGGTGAATATTTTTTCATGTGCTTGTTAACCATTTGAATATTATCTTTGAAGGATATTCAAAGAATTTGAATTTTCTTTTTAGATACTTGACCACTTTTTGTTTGGGTCATTTGTCTTTTTGTAATTAAGTGGCAGAAGCTACATATTTTGCATATTAGATCCTTATTTGTTATGTGGCTCTCAAAAATGTCTTCTCAATCTGTATACTATCTTTCCACTTTGTTGATAAAATCCTTTGGTGTACTAAAGAATTGAATTTTTTTATGATGTTTCATCTATCTATTTTTATTTTGTCTTTTGTTATTATATCTGATAATATATCATTAAGCATTTGGTCCAATAGCTTTGCCTTTACATTTTTTTATAACAATCTTTATGATTTTAATTTTTACATTTGGGTATTTGAATTGGTTCTTGTATATGGGGTGAGGCATGGATCCTGTTTCATTCTTCTTCATGTGGAAATCAAGATTTCCCACACCAATTATTAAAGAAACTTTTCCTTCACCATTAATTGGATTTAGCACCCTCGTAGAAAATCACTTGGCCATAGATATACGAGTTATGATTGATTTGATATTTACTGATCAGTCAACAAAGATTTCCAGATTATAGACAAGCTCTGAGTTATAAACAGACCATGATTCTGGCCACATTATATTTACACTTTAGTGAGACACTTATCACCTTATTGCTAAATAAGGCAGAGAATTGCTTCCTTTAGGACACTGGTTACTAACTGCCTAGGCACTATCTTTACTCGCACTGAGCTGGTGCTGGACTCCTGCTCTGAATGCTCTCGGTTCAAGGTTTTATGTATCGGGAGCTGAGTGGGGAAGAAGATAAAGGGATATAGGGAAAATGAAAGCTTTAGTCTGAACTAAAACTAGTTTTCCTTTTACTTAGACATAGAAATGTCTAAGATATTTCTTAAGCATCATGTTGGCTTTTAACAGTATACCTATTCCATGTTCTGGATACCAATGTTTCCCCTACCTGGTTGAACCATGGAATTGTTGGAAGGTCATCTCTCCCTTTCCACCTCATACAGGATCTCCTTACTCGGATCCTGTGAAGCAGACATTAGCATACACTGATGCTGATTCTACCAGGGTCCAGTCGTCTCCCTGGGTTGCTCACCTACTATGTGCTGGGAAAAGTCCTAATGAATGTTAGGACTTTATGAATGTTAGCTCTGTGAATTCTCCACGAACACCATGAAGAAAGTATTCGGTGAAGGGAACTGAATGCTCGATGGTACACTGTTAATAGAACCAGAACCAGAACCATACTGAACCCACCCACTGCCCCGGTGTCTCTTCCAACTCGGCACTCACTGCAGTTGGGTCTACTCCAACTCACAGTGACCCCGCCCCCAGTGTCCAAGGCTGGAAATCTTTATGGGAGCAGATCGCTCATTTTCCTCCACACGGAGTGCCTGGGGGGACTGGCCCTGGTGGGACAGCACCACCAGGGCTCCTTGAATAATGCCGAGGCCTCGCTTACTCCACGCTTTCCTACTTTTTTGAGACTAAGTTGGGGATTCTTGATGGAGGTGGGGCAATACTCACTGGTATGGCATCATTTCTAACATGTAATTTGTTAGCACGCAGAGAGCTGATATTTGTAAAAGATTTCATTTTGAAAAGTAAACTAGATTTGGTTGGTTCAGGGTTACTTCCAAAGGGCAGCTCTCTGCCCCATTTGTTTGCTCCAGCGCGTTGTTTAACAGGAAAGAGCCTGGTGGCATGAGAACCAGACCCCAGGAAGCACCTGCTTGGCCAAACTCAGGGCGTTTGTCAAGGATGTGAGTAACATCTGTCATGTGCACCTGGGCTGAAAACAGACTACGAACAATTGTCAATGTGAATTCCAATAACAAGGATATACACTCTAGGGTCAGAGCGTGGGATTTCTATCTTGAATCTGCTGTTTATTTCTATGATGTTCTGGGCTTGTTTTGTTTTGGGCTTTTTTTTCATGACCTTCTTGAACCCTGATACTGCAGGGCTTTCTTGATTGTAAATCAGGATTGGTTTTCTCATTGGTAAAACCACATTGCTAAAAGAAATGAGCTAGTGCCGGCAGTGCATGTAATGCATATTAGGTACAATGCTTTGTCAATTATACACAATAAATGTCAGTAAAACTTTATAGAGTTCCAAGTATTATAAGCAGTATCTGTAGATCTCATAATGTTAACTATTTTATAGCCAATAACTATCCAGTTATATAAATATGTTGCATATAATAAGCATTATCAAGCATATATTTGATTTCTCTTTCCTTCTTGAAATTTCGAGCGATTGTGATGAATAATTTGGATACTCCAGACTTGTTTTCCTAACTGCCAAGAGACATAGGAGGAGTATAAGTTGATGCCTTTTTTTTCTTCTTGTGATTTTCATAGCAAATCCATATTTAGTTTCTATAGACTAGCAAAACTGGTATCATTCCGTGGGAAAACTTAGTTAACATTTCCATTCCTAAGGTTCCTTCCAACCTCATAGAAGTCAGGAGGCTGCCTGTGGCTGTGTTTTGGACTACTGGATTTTCTTGCATCTCGATGTCTGCTCATGTAGCTAGCTCCTCTTCCTGGTTCTTCCTTCTAGATCCCCTGCTCACTCAACTCCTCTGAAGTGTCTCTCGACTTAAAGGATTTTCATTAGACAAGTGTGGTTGACTAGAACTTTGCCAGGCCAATGCAAAATGGTGGTCACTTCGTTCTGATATCAAGAAGTCTTTGTCTGCCACAATCATGTTTTGGTTCTGAAGCACGCCTTCCCAGCAAGTGACTGAATACAGAGGGCTCAGTATTCCCTCCCACCTCTTCCCCACAGGTCCATTGGGAGGGTTTCCTATCTGAATGCTTCTGACATAATGGGCCAAGGGTCTGAGAACATCAGTCTGAGAAAAAATGGATGTTCCATTCTACCAAATCAAATTCACTGCCATTGAGTCGATGTTGACCCATAGTGACCTGATAGGACAGGGTAGAACTGCCCCTGTGGGTTTCCAAGACTGTAACTGTTTGCGGGAGTAGGAAGCCCTGCCTTCCTCTCAAAGAGAAGATGGTGGTTTCAAACTGCCAACCTTTCGGATTGCAACCAAACACCTAACCACGAAGCCACCAGGACTCCTGCTGGCTTAGAGTCATGTGCTGTATAGAAGGAACACATCCCTTGACGTGTCAAAATAAACCCCATAAAAAGCTCAGTGCCATTCAGTCGATTCTGACTCATAGTGACCCTATAGGACAAGGTAGAACTGCCCCGGTGGGTTTCTGAGACTGTCACTCTTTATTGGAATAGAAAGCTGAATCTTTTCCCCATGAAATTGCTGGTAGTTTCGAATTGTTGACCTTGCAGTTGATAGTCCCATGCATTACCATTATGATCCCAGCACTCCTCTTATTAAACCGGCCGGGTTTAATTTGGATAGCTAAAAATGCCATTTTTGAGGGGGGAAAATATGCCATAAAATTAATGTTCTCCTGAGGAACAGCTGGTGGTTTTGAACGGTTGACCTTGAGGATCACAGCGCAATGCATAACCACAAGGCCACCAGAACCCCCTGCAAAATTAATGTTCATTGTGTGTGGCACATAACATCGGATACTCCTACATTTAGGCCCTTTGGGGACAGTAACTGATTATGTGTCCCTGTGTTCGACAGATACGGCATCATCCATGCTGGTGGAGTGGGGAAGTACCTCAGTGAGTGGATCTTGCACGGAGAACCTCCCTTTGACCTGATAGAACTGGACCCCAATCGCTATGGAAAATGGACAACCACTCAATACACCGAGGCCAAAGCAAGAGAGTCCTATGGACTCAACAATATTGGTAACGTGGGAATTTGCCATTGTCCACAGTGTTTACCTGTAGATTGGCCCAGCGGCTGCAACAATGGGCTCGAGCACAGAGCGATTGTGCAGACAGTGAGAGGCCGGGGAATGGCTGGTTCTGTTGTGCACAGGCTCCCTGTGGGGCAGAATGGCCTTGAGAGCGCTGAACTACAAGGGTGTTTCCAGAATGATCATTCAGAACCTCTGATTTTAGATGCTCTTTCTTCTGTTCACTGGAGGAGGGTTTGTTTCGGATTCTAAGGGGCACAGCATCTCTGAGACACAACAGGGTTGTATATAAATGTACATATTTAACACGTGAATGCCACCACTGATTTTTGATCTAAAATATAGTTTGGCTTTACCCTCGGTATCCATGATGGCTTTGTCTTCTACGTCAGGTCCTTGCATGTAACCATGCTTCTGGAATTTAAATCTGGTAATTTTCATTTTCGAAATCCTTCCATCGTGTTCTGATGATGTGCTATTGAGAGTGCGGGTTATCTGTTTTCAGTTGGTTATCCTAAAGAAGAGCGGTTTGCCGGGAGGCCGACAACGCGTGTCAGCGGGCTCTACACAGCCCTGAAGTCGAGGTGCTCCATGGGCTTCCACGCGGGCTGGGAGCAGCCACACTGGTTCTACAGACCTGGGCAAGACCCTCAGTACAAGTAAGGGGAAGATCAACCTGGCCCGTGCGCTGAAGTGAAATCAGGGAAGTGCAACTTTGCGCTCACGCTTGGTCATTCCACCCCGTTACAGGGAGCACTGTGGAGCCTTGGCTACCACAATTCTTTTCTGTCCGTGGAAGCGCTGGTCTTGTCCACCTGACATCGATTCATACTTAGCATACCGATCCACTCCCACACCCCACACCTGGTCCTACTGCATGACCCAAGCCCCAGAGAGTCCTCTTCAGTGCAGATTTATCATCTCTGCCCAATCCGTTCCTCTGACAGCCCCCCACCCCACCCCACCCCCAGGTTCTGAGGGCTCACAGGGGTTTAGAATGTTCAATTGAATCAGGTATGCAAATCACAGGGGAAGGGGATAAATCAGAGGAAAAGATCATTTCTGTAGTATTTCTGCTTATGCAAAAGCATAATAAATCCCCCTGAGACAACCCTCTGAATTGCTCTAAACCGATACCTACTGCTTTCTTACTTGAGATTAAGAGTGATTATGTATTGGGGGAAACATGAGGCTGTTTATTCCTGTAGATTTATAGTCCAGGAAACCAAAGGGGCAGTTTCTACTCCGTCCCATAGAGTCACTCTAAGTTGACGTTGACTTGATAGCAGTGAGTTGAGTTGAGTAAATACTTTTTTAATAAAATGGGAACCCATAAACCACAAAAAATAAATAGCAAATCCAAAAATTAAGCTACATTTTTTTGAGCTGTCATTTTGGTTAATCAGGATTTGATATCTACTTATTTTATGAACCATATAAACTTAATCTTCACACTTGATCTTAGCCAAAAGGCCTAGAAGCGATTAAACGTAATCTTAAAACATTTTTTTTCTTTAGTTTCAGGACTAAGTCTAGCTGGATCATAGAATACTAGCGGGCCCATTGTTGGTTCATGAATTTAGGCTGTAGAGGCAGTCAATCTCGACTTCTCTCTCTCTCTCTTGTTTTCTGGTGGCAAGACATTGGCTTGCTGTTTCTAAATAATGCAGACACTAGTTCTATGCTTCACCTTGTGCTGCGTGAATCTGGCCTACGCTGCTTCTACAATATAATGATTAAACTGCAGAAATTTGTTTTTCAGACTTAGTATCCTTCTCTGAAGTGCAGACACATTAGAGGGCCTGTTTGTAAGACAGAAAAGACCTTTGTTCCAGGCTCAGCGCTGTTATTAATTCATGTAAGAGCTTTGGAAAGACACGTCATGTCTTTTCTCTGAAAGACGGAGATGTTGGGCCAGGGCTTGCTTACTCAAGATGTGGATGAACAGCTTCAGCATCACCTTGGAGCCTGTTAGAAAGCAGACTCAGAGGCCCCTTCTGAGACCTGCTGAATCAGGACCTGCATTTGAACAGGTGGAAGGAACGGTCTGACATGTGCATGAACGCTGGAGCAGCGCTGGGCTAGACGAGCCGTTCACAATCCCGGCTGCACGCTCTTACCTTCTTCAGAGCTCCAGACTCAGGACTATGGAGTGAATACTGACTCAGAGGGACCCCTGTGGTTTCTGAGACATTAGCTGTTTAGGGGAGTAGAAAGCCCAGTATTTCTTCTGCATTTTAGGTGCTAGATATTCGGATTTAACTAGTCTGGAGCTGGAGAAAGGTGCCACAATCTGCTCTGGAAAAGATCCCTGCCTTGGAAACCCTCTGTGTAGTTCTACTCTGTCCTACAGAGTTGCTCTGAGCAAGAGTCAATTACAGCAACCCAGCCATTGGATTTCATTAAAAAATACCACGCTCCAGGTAATTCTAGTATGTAGCCAAGGTTGCCAATCACCAGACTGTATAACATCTAAGGGTGCTTCCAGATTTGAAAGCCCATGTGTCTTCTTTGATGTTCTAATTAATTAGTACTTTATTCACTATGACCTGGGTCAAAGAGATAGATGAGTAACTTAAAAGGCTAGGCACATTCCAACATCTGCGAATGATTTGTGGAACAGGGTTTTCGGTCACACGTTGTTTTCCTAAATAGGAGTTCTAGATGAGCAGGGCTACTTTTTTTTTTTTTCTTTCGATTCTGTAATTTCTGTCAATGAATGGTAGTTGTTTTGTGACATTAAACATTGTCTTTCAGGCCCAGTTTTCGTCGAACAAACTGGTTTGAGCCTGTGGGCTTCGAGCATGAACAGGTTATGCAAAGAGTCGGGGTGATTGACCTGTCGCCCTTTGGCAAGTTTAACATCAAAGGCCAAGACTCCGTGAAACTGTTGGACTATCTGTGTGCAAATGTCATTCCAAAGGTAAATAGCTTTGCAGGGGCACAGGGTCCAGGATTGTGACCTATTTAATTCTTCATCCTCTCTTGAAAAAAAAAATTTTAGTCTTTTAGCTGTCCGAATAATTTCTGTCTAACATTAGAATTTCTTTTTAATTGACCAAGAAAATAGGTAATTTTCACATTTAAATTTTTGTTGAGTGAATGATCATTGGAGGTCTTGATAGATTTGTTTACTAATGCCAATGGAAACTTAAAAGAAAGCTGTGTATAATTAGTCTTTCAAATTGAGAGCTTCAAAATTCATCTTGAATTTAAATCTAGTAGACTTACAGATAATTAATATCATTGGTGTAAAGGATACAATAACAGTCGTTCTGGGGCATAGCAACTTACATGTTGGGCTGCTAATTGTAAGGTCAGCAGTTTGAAACCAACAGGCACCCTGAGGGAGGAAGATATGAGGCTTTCTACTCCAGTCAAGAGTTACAATCTTGGAGACCCACAGAGGCAGTTCTACCCTGTCCTATAGGGTCGCTATGAGTTGGAATCAACTCAATGGCAGTGAGTTTGAGAAATGGTATGATTCATATGGGTTTTCCCTTTTATATACATGCTATAGTGAAAGAACCCATAAGATATTGACTTCATCCAGGGGTAATTTTACGTTGATCTGTGTAGGTGGGTTTCACAAATATAAGTCACATGTTAACGCCAAAAGGCCGAGTGTACGCTGAGCTGACTGTTTCCCACCAGTCTCCAGGGGAGTTCCTGTTAATAACAGGCTCTGGATCTGAACTTCATGATCTTAGGTAAGTACTGCTCTGGTCATAACATTCTGTATGTATTATATAGTGACTCGGGCTTTCCTAGGATTGCTTGTTTGTCCGTCCTGAGAGGTACAACTTTAGTTCTTAAAACCCACTGCCATCCCAAACAAACAATATTGATGCAAAAGAGGGGAGTTGGCATGGAGCCCCAAAGCCCATCTGTAGACAATTGGATATCCCCCAACAGAAGGGTTATGGATGATTCAACCAAGGTGCAGTAAAGCCCTGAGGAATCATACAACATTCCTCTAGTTCTTGAATGCTTCCTCCCCAGCACTACCATGACCCAGTTCTACCTTACAAATCTCACTAGACCGGAGAATTGGTACAGATAAGAGCTCTGACACATGGAGTTCAGGAAAGATAAGATAACCCCCTCAGTAACAGGAGTAGTGAGATCATGAGGGTTGGGGGATGGTCAGGGAGGAGGAAGGGTGAGAAAGGGGGAGCCCATCACAAGGTTGGATATATAGCCCCTTCCTCAAGGGGACGACTAACGATGTGGGTGAAGGCAGACAATAGACAATAGATAATATATGATACTAAATAACAGTAACAATATATAATTGATGAAGGATACACCAGGATGGGAAGGTGGAGGAGGGAGGGGGAAAAAAGAGGAGCTGATACTATGGGCTCAAGTAGAAAATGTTTTGGAAATGATGATGGCAACATATGTACAAATGTGCTTGATATAATTGATGTATGGAATGTTATAAGAGCTGTAAGAGCCCCCAATAAAATGATTTATTTTAAAAAAGAAAAATAAAAAAAAGAAAAGTAAATAAATAAAAATTGCTTTGTGCTGAAAAACACAAAAACAAAAACAAAACCCACTGCCCCTGAAGATACGACCAATGGGTTCTAACAACTGCCAAGAGCTTAACCACTGTGTCACTCAGGATCATCTTCGTTAGTTCTTAAACCGTATCATTCCAAGTAAAGGCCATGTCTTTGATAGGAACATTACGTGCACACACACATACACACACACACACACACACACACACACACACACACACACACAAACCCACCTATGGAGTTTGCTGACTCTTAAACTTACTGCCATCGAGTCAGTCCTGCGTCATAGCAACCTTACAAGACTGTGGGTTTCTAAGAATGCAAATCTTTACAGAAGTAGAAAGCATCTTTCTTTCTCCTGCAGAACAGCTGGCGATTTCGAACTTCTAACCTCGTGGTTAGCAGTCCAATGCATAACCCACTACACCACCTGGGAACCCTACTGAAGCAAGCAACATTCAACTCCTATATATTAAGCAGGGTCAATATGCCAAAATCCCTTTTACCCATTATCTCAGTTAATTCTCTTAATAGTCTTCAGTTTTATTATTTTCATTTTCAGGAGGAAACAGGTGGAAGTAATTATCTTAGTTTAGTCTTTTTTCCTCCGATGCCCATCTTTGATCTTAGTAAGCCACCTGCCTGAGTTAGTTTCTCCCTTTGTGGTATTTCATGATCTCTGTCCAACATCTGGATCTAAATCATGAATCCACCAACCTGAACCTTTGCATACCCCCAAACCAAACACAACCATCAACTCAGGGATCCACTATAGCAGTGGTTCTCAACCTTCCTAATGCCACCACCCTTTAATACAGTTTCTCATGTTGTTGGTGACCCTCCAACCATAAAATTATTTTCCTTGTTACTTCATAACTGTCATTTTGCTTTTGTTGTGAATTGGGCGACCCCTGTGAAAGGGCCGTTCAACTCCCAAAGGGATCGTGACCCACAGGTTGAGAACCGTTGACCTATAGGGTTTCCAAGGCCCTTATAAACCTTTACGGGAGCAGATAGCCTCGGCTTTCTCCTGAGAGAAACAGGTGGAAGTAATTATCTTAGTTTAGTCTTTTTGCCTCCGATGCCCATCTTTGATCTTAGTAAGCCACCTGCCTGAGTTAGTTTCTGTGGCTGCTGGATTTGAACTGCTGACCTTAACAATCCAGTGCTCACCTGACAGTGCTACCTGGGCTCTTACTTTCACAGGGTCTTTAACATACACATATCTGAAATACTATTGATGTTTAACAAATATTTTAAACTGACAGAGGCTCACCCTAGTTATAAAATGATTCAAATTACATGTTCCCATCCAAGATGTACTAGGGCCCACCTTAGTAGCTTAGCTTTGTACAATTCCAAGTGAACATTTTATGATAGACTTGAATTGCACCAACTACTGCTCAATAAATTATAAGTCAGTCCTGTAGGTGGGTTTTAATAACCCACCTACCTTCAAGACTTAGAAATTCAAACCAGCTTTTAGAGATTTTTTTAAAAAATCACTTCCTTATGATTGTCAAAGCAATTATGCCTGGTGGCAGGTGCATTATTAACCTTAACAGTGGCAGCATGCCTCTGGTGTAGAGGCATTAGAGAAAATTTGGCTTTAAATTAATTTTTGAAGAATGAATCATTAGTTTAAATGCAAAGGGCTGTCACTACTTAAAAGAATTGTGAAGCAGAGCTCATTTAAATGGAAGGATCCTCTATACTATGAAAAATGACTCCCATATTTTTAAGTGAGTGTTTAAAAGACACTTGCTTAATGTGTCAGGGACTCAGTTTCCTTAGCTCTAAAAAATTTATGTGGTTAAATAAAATGACATTCTGGGGACTTTTCTGAAGTTTTTGACCCAGAGCATGTTTTCGGTCCAAAATGCCTTATTGGAGTAAGATTTAACACTGGGGCTTTGACTCAGAATCTATAGTTTAACCAGATTCCCAGGCGTTTGTTTATATATATATCTGATCCCGTATATGTGGGGTGGAAATGCAAATTATCTGAACACGGGGTGGAACCAGAATTCACCCTGTTTGTGACTCAAATGCAGATGGATTGAAGAAGAAGCAGTGAAAGGTGGATACGATGTTGAAATTAAAAACATAACCGACGAGCTTGGCGTCCTTGGAGTCGCAGGGCCACTTGCAAGAAAGGTCCTTCAGAAACTCACCTCTGAAGATCTCAGTGATGGCGTTTTCAAGTTTCTTCAAACCAAGTCCTTAAAGGTTTCCCACATTCCCGTCACTGCCATTCGGATCTCTTACACGGGTAAGTGAATTGACACATGGCTGCCGTGATGGACTAACATCCAGCAATGGTGGTGAGGAGAGGCCAAGGTCAGGCAGTGTTTCATTCCCTTGTTGCCACGGGTTGGAACCACTTTGACGGCCCCTAACAACAACACAGTGGTGAGAACTGAGAAACAGCGGAGACAAAGTCTCTAAGATCTATCCAAGAAGCTGCCAAACGTGTACATATAGACTCATTTACTTTTGTCAGTGTGCCTTGGGGGAAATTTTCTTCTACCTAGCTCTTATGGCAGCTCTATAGAGTCGCTGCCGGTCGCTACAAGTGGTTCCACAAGTTTCCGGTTGGTTGATCTTACGTAAAAGGAGAGATGAGCAAGTGGGACAATGTGGGGCATGGAACAGTTGGCCAGTCGACAGAATATTCAGGTCAGCAGACTTCTTGGGAACATTCAGGTTGGCCTCCGTTGGTACCATATCAGCACCTTTCTAGGTCATTCCCACTCACCAAATGCTCTTCCAACATCTAAGTCCGTGCGGGGCTATTCAGAGGAGCCAGGTCACCCCAACTCACCGCGACCCTGTGCACAAGGGAACGAAACCCTCCCAGGGCCTGCGTCCTTCTCACAGGGTTGTTCTGCTGGAGCCCAATATTGTGTCGCTCCCTCTCACGGAAGGCCCTCCTCTTTCTCACTCCCTCTGGACTTGACCCAGCATGATGTCCTTTTCCAGGGACGTCTTCATTTATTGCCTGACCTGGCAGATAGTTGGTATTTAACACAGAGATGAATGAAGGGTCCTCATGTCCCCCTTGGTGCTCACTTCTGATCTTCTCTAGACCTCCTGGTCCCTTCATAGAAGGAATACCCACCCGCTGCCCACGCATCTCTTCAACAACACGAAGTCTTCAATGTTGGAGCACATAGGATGAGAGGCCGTAATTCTTCCCCGGCCTAGCCTAGCCTCCTCCCCCGCCCTCTCTCCCTTTCCTTCCCAGTCCTAGCAAAGCCGTGTCCAGAATGCAAATAAGTAGGACCATTTAGGTTGGGCTTCATGTCCTTTGCTTTGGGACCCCAGCTCTGACGGAGAGCAACATGGCAAGAGGGGAAGAGGTGGGAATGGAAGGACCCATGGACTACGGCTGCCCATAATGAAGAGGCTTTGGAAAATTGTCTGTTGACTTTATCTTCAAGCCTTGTGACTCCTGGGCAAGGGCGTGAGGTACCTAAACCTTGATCCCGTTATCTTGATAAACTTTGAGGCCCTAGTTATGCACCCAGCAATGTTGTCCTTGCAAATACAAGTATAGTCAAGCCTCATTATGAAGCAAGGCTCCAGGGTAGAGATTAACTCCTGCCGCGCAGGCTTCATGCATCTTTAGAAGAAGTGTCCTACATCTTGCCCGCCACGTATGAGTCTGGATGGGGCACAGAGCATCCAGGCGATAACAGGCTCCTTTGCAGAAGGGAATGTTGTTGTAACTCTTTATGGATTGATCTTTCTAAAAAAATTTGGCAGGGTCTGTGGTGCAGAAAAGGAATCTATCCTGCTTTTATCTGCCTTAGTTATGCACTCTAATAATCTGGCATGGCACCTCTGGGTTTCTTTCAGGTGAGTTGGGCTGGGAGCTGTACCACAGGCGAGAAGACGCTGCCGCGCTTTATGACGCTCTCATGAAGGCAGGCCAGGAGGAGGGAATCGACAATTTCGGAACCTATGCCATGAATGCCTTAAGACTGGAGAAAGCTTTCCGAGCCTGGGGGTCAGAGGTTTGAAATACTAATGTCTTAATTGAAAACTGTGTGGCTATTGTGTGAGGTTTTTGTGCAAGGGCTTGTTTGAACTACATTCACGTTGGCTCTGGCTATAGGTGAAATTAGTTAGGTATGACAAGAGAACTCAATTCAGTTGAGGGATGCAGTATCTCTTCTTGTTTTCCCAGCTTCGAGTTCAGTGACATGCTAACATAGTGTTCATTCTGCCTTCCTTGCCCCTGCTTGGCAAAGATCTCCGGACAGCTGTGTCTGAGTACTTGGAGTAGGGAGTCGGCCTACCCTAAGTGACTGTAAATCACCTTAATTTTCTTCTGATCTTGTACCTTTTGGAGGAGCTAACAACTCAGGTGTCTTTCGGAGGAGTAGAGACGATGGCCTGAGATGTTCTGCTCTAGCTTTCTTCCATGATTACTAATTAATATTGCTAACCAGGAGTTCCTGTTTTCATAGTGTTTCACTAGTTACACAGCATTTTATTTCCACATGCACAATCTCAACTCTCTAAAGAAGGTAGATATTATCCGTGTTTTACACATAATCACACTGAGATTCAGGGGATGGCCTCATCTAAATGACACAAAACCACACCACACTCATTCTCTCGAGTTGATGCCGACTCATAGCGACCCTACAGGACAGGGTAGAACTGCCCCAGTGAGCTTCCAAGACTGTAACTGTTAATGGGAGTGACGGATGATTTCAAACTGCTGACCCTTTGGGTCACAGCCCAACAAATAACCATTAATCCCACAGGAAGCACCCAGGCTGTGGCTGAAACCCTGTTCTCCATCTTTCTCTTTCTCAAACCCTGGGCTCTGACTCTGGCCACTTTTTCAGATTGACTCGTGGTTGAAGTCTTCAGGCTTCAAGGTCAGATAAAGGATAGTGGGAAAGCGTGGAGCTCCAAGTGGGGACTCTGGGTTTGAACTGATCCCTGTAGCTAGCTGGTCTTCATCCACTAGACCTTAGTCTAGAACCTTAGTTTCCTTTTCTATGGAATGGAGATCATGTTTATTCTGCATAGTGTAGCTATTGTTGTTGTTAGGTGCCAGCAAGCCAGCTCTGAACCACAACGACCTCATGCACAACAAAACACCGCACACTCCTGTGCCCACCATTCTCGCCATTGTTCCTGTGTCGGAGCGCACTGAGGCAACCGCTCTGTAGGTCCATCTCGTCGAGGGCCTGCCTCTTCTTCACCGCCCCTCCACTTTACCAAACATGTGGTCCTCCTCCAAGGGACCGGTCTCTCTTGACAATATGCCCAGAGTATGAAGATGAAGTCTTGCCATCTTTGCCTCTAAGGCAGTGTTCTCAGCCTTTCTAATGCCAAGATCTTTAATACAGTTCCTCATGTTATGGTGACCTCCAACCATAAAATTATTTTGTTGCTACTTCATAACTGTAATTTTGCTACTGTTATGAATCGGGTCATTCAACCCCCCCAAGGGGTCTCAACCCACAGGTTGAGAACCACTGCTCTAAGGAGCACTCTGATTTTACTTCCTCCAATACATATCAGT